GCGTTCGACGAAGTGGAACGCAATCCTAATTTTGACCTGTGGCTTTCCAGAGTTGGTTGTCCTGTGCACGGTTCTAGGCTGGAAAATCCACATTCCTGTAAGGACACCAAAATGGCCACCCGGCTTTATTTTTGCAGGGGCATGTCACGGCCAGTAAACTGGGAGCGTTACTAGGGCATGTGACAAGACATGTGACGGACATATGAGTTGTCACGGCCAGTAATATCTTACTCTTACTAAGGCATGTGACAAGACATGTGACGGACATATGAGCATGTGAGCAGGCCATGTGAGCTCGTTTTTGCAGTTGACCTTTGGTCTTTCTTTCCATGTGCTCTCAGCATTACGTTGGACGTATCTTTTGCGGTAGAACTCTGTTTCTTTTGCGGTGGAACTCTGTATCTTTTGTGTTGGAACTTTGAGGCTGGGTAAGTATTTTATTCAATAGTCCTTCCGAGTACGATGTTATCATTTAACGCTTTGAGGGTAACATTTATCGAAATCCGACGGAATTGTGTACCACTCCAGCGTGGGCTGATCTTTGGTCTTTCTTTCCATGTGCTCTCAGCGCTAACATTGGACATATCTTTTGCGGTGGAACTCTGTATCTTTTGTGGTGGAACTTTGAGGCTGGGTAAGTATTATATTCAATGGTCCTTTCGAGTATGGTGTTATTTAAACGATTTGAGGGTAACATTTATCGAAATCTGACGGAATTGTGTACCACTCCAGCGTGGGCTGTGTTGTCAGTCCAGCGTTGGAATTCAAACACGCCCAGCTACAAAGTCTGTAGGAATCAAAGAAAACTCGAACATTGCAAGCTGTTGCTAGAGCTATTCAGACCCATAACCATGAATTGTGGTAAAAAAATGTATAACCCACCGAGTTGTGCTGCTCGGCTACGGAAAATGACCATGGCTTGTGGTCGAATTACAAACTATACGAGTTGTGTAGCTCGACAGCCATTGTGGCGCATGATCAAGGTTTGTGATCACTACACTACCGAAGCGGGCTATGCTGGAACTCGTACTTTCGTTGTATCATTGTCCAGTGATGAACAAAACGGAGCAGATGAAGCGAGCAAATTTACTCGAAGCATTCCTTACTCAAGCAAATCGGGTAGCCGAAGCATTCTTTTATATTACGCAACCAAAACACGTGCACAATGTCCAGTTCATATTTCGATAAATGGTAGCCGCAAATATAACTATGAAACTGATATAAATGGTATGGTTGCAAAAATTTCTAACAACAGTTGTTCTTTTGAAAATACTTTTAAAAATGCTGAGAAAACTGAGCCTGTTTAGAAAACAATTATCAGAAAAAAACGAGACAGAGAACCATCTCGAATTCCTCTTCACAGAGTTATAAAATTGTTAAAAAGAAGAAAATGCAGAAGTAGCTTTCGATGTCTAGTGAAGCATAATTTTCCAAGCTCCTCATTTATTAGGGATTTTTGCACCAATTACAAGAAATGGTCAATTTTGTATAACTGTGAACATTTTTACTTAAAATATATTTATTTCATAAACAAACATAAAGGTAAAAGGGGTAGTAACTTATACAGTTGCCAACAAGAAGGTTCTTCCAGCAAAATGCTACAAAGGTCAGACTTCAGCCACCATAGCGGTTATCATATTTCCCAAAGTTTAAAACTAACAGGAGGTATGTTTCCAACAAATGACAATTGTAATTTGCCATGGGCCTGTCTAAGTGAGAGACTTTCATGCATAAGTTTTAATGCCTTACGATGTTGGTGGGAGTGGTGACTGTTTTTTCAGGTCAGTTTCACATCAACTCTATGGAACTCCTGAGTTACATTTTGAGATTCGTATGGCTGGAATTAATCACTTAAATAATCATCCAGAAATTTACATTGAGAGTTTTTCTGACAATAGTTGGGAAGACTACATTCAGCAAATGTCAACACCAGGGACATGGTGGGACAATATAATCATCCAGGCAGTGGCTAATGCTCATAATTGTATTGTTTATATTACTGAGTCCGATGTCAATAAACCAGATGGTACATTGATTACTCCTATTCTTCATGAAGGAAGACCAAATACAATATTTATTGGATATATTAATGAGCTACACTATGTTTCAACAATTCCACTTCAAAATAGTCAAAACAAAAACAGATTAACATACTTGAAGGGAAAGTTATTACAATCTGATAACCAAAAAGAGGAGAGACTTGCTAAAAGAAGAAAAACTAGACATGCAGAAACTGATGAGGAAAGAGAAATTCGACTTCTTAACATACGACAAAATGTAGCTAAGAGAAGGGCAACAAAAACTGATGACAACAGTAGAAACCAAAGTTCTGAACAAAGTAATACAAATCATGAGAATTATTTGACTCCACTAATGGTACAAAAACATGTTCTTAGAAATATTGATTTGTTTCACAAGTCTAATGAGTATTTAATCAAGCAGTGCACAGTATGTATGGAAGCATGGCCTTCAGTGCAAAAGAGACAAAGTCATACAGCTT